GCCCCCTGCGCCCACCCCGCCGGAGGGCAGCGGCCGGAACGCGCGGGGCAGAGGACCTTGGGTCACAGGGCCGAGGCTTCTGGGGTCGGAGGCTGTCCCGGGTCGGCCCGGTACGCCAGCCCCTGCGAACAGAGACGGCCCCGCAGGCCACCGCGCGAGCAGTACCTGCCAGCGCGTCCCGGGAAGTCCAGGTAATCCCCGAGGAAAGGGATCGGAATCCGCTCGGAGAGCACGCCGGTAGTGCTCAGTCCCTGCGTTTGGCCGACCCGAGGCTCCTTCCACGGATCAGGACGCCACACGGGTGGCTTTCCACTCGTGTTGTCAGGACCTGCGGTTCCAGCCTGGAAGCTCGGGCCACCAGCCTAGACCTCGTGGGACCAGTGTGGCGGGACGCCCGCCAGACACTGCGCCCTTGCTTCCTCCGCAGCTGTGCTCTGACCCTCACTCCCTGGCCTCCGGCCGGCTGGCTGGGCAGATGGGCGGGGTTTCGGGATCTAGAAACTCCTCTGCGGGCAAGGTGACACAGGTCCAGACACAGGAAGTGGGTTAGGGTGCATCTCAAAGGTGGAACATGCAGCATTCAAATAAAACACTGAGTGTGCCCTGGCTGAAGACAGCTCCAGCATTGGGTACCCTTCCCCACCTGCTTCGCACCCACAAGGACTTGTGGGCAGATTCATCAGCACAGCTCTCCAGTCCTAAGGTGTCTGTCCCTGACACACCTACCTAGATGGTTTTCTTCCTGATTGTAAGATTGAGTTAACTGCCATGAAATAAGACAGGGGGGGGGGGGAAAGGGGGGTTACCGAGTGTCTACCATCGCGGAGTGTCCACGTCTGTCCTTCAGAAAATATGATTCCGTCCCATAAAGAAGTCCTTTTCAAGAAGCAGTATTAGCTCGCCCCTTCCGGACCCCAGTTCACCCCAGTCTGAATCCCCAGAAGACAATGAAGGCTCCTTCCTGAAAAGGAGGTTCCAGAAGGACAGAGCAGAAAGGCCTTCAAGGCGTCTACCTCAAAAGCTGGGTCCAGGACAGACTATGCTCCTTTTTGTTTGTTTTTAGCAGGTTTTTGCTCCGGAGATCACTCGTGTCCCAGGAGTGGAAAATTTGGTCCACCAGTCAGGCACTGTGATTTGAGGGTTTGTTGAGGCCATCTGACCCTTGCCTCCAGATATCTTCTTCACCTCTAGCCTTGAATTTTAGTCACAACCAATCTTGTTCTTTCTCTAGAAAGCCTTCTTCATGTTCAGTTGGGCCTGATTAACTCCTTTAGAAAAAAAAAGAGCAATTCCTCAGTGTTAGAAGTGCTTTAAAGATAGTAGAGCCTGCCTCGCTGACTTTATGGATGAGAAAATCAAGTTGCAGGTAAATCCAATGATGTTAACACTGATGTAGGGTCAAAGTTTGGGGTTGTTCTCACCACACCTTGCTGGGAATGAATAACTCCATTCATCCAAATGTCTCCCGGGGAAACTGAGAGCAGGCCTCAGAGAAATAGAGCACAAAAAACCACTTGGAAGGTCTTAAGGGAGCCAATCTGACTTCTCACCAAGCCTGAGTCACATTCCCTGTTAAGTAGTCTCTGCCTAGTTACCACCTGCTCTATACTGTAATCGTGGCTTGCTCTGTAGAAGCCTTGAGATAATCAAGGTTTTCCAGTCCTTTTAGGGAAAGCCATTGAAAAGCCCTCAGTGAAACTTTGTGCACATTTCCCATTTCAGTAGCAGTTCACAAGTGTCCTCCTCATAAGGGGAGGATATCTTAACTTGAAAGGAGGGGGGAAAATGGGCTTGCTCCTGTGGTGGTGTCTGTTTATAGTGTAGTGTCTGTTTATAGAGCACCAATAGAGTTGATATGGAGAGACCTGTGACTCATGCACATGGCCCTTAGACCTAAAGCAACATTGTTCATCTGGTGCCATGTGTAGTGTCATGGGTGGGTTGGACACACCACACACAGCCAGACATGCACACCACACACTATTTAACTAAGAAGTAGTGTCAGTATATGAAGAGAACGAGGTACTTTTCATAATAGGGAGGGTAAGGTGAGGAAGGAAATTGTCAGGTTCTTCTGAATCATAATGCGTCAGGCCTCATTTTTTGTTGTTGGTTTTGGTTTTTTTCCCAGAAGCTGTGCAGTTGTTGCAGCCTTTAGAAGGAGGGCTGGGTCCAGCAATACATAAACTACTACCAAATGGTAGCCATTTCACCTTGGTTTCTAGGGAAAGTCCCCGCCCCAGGGTCTCTTAACAGATAATGACAGAATGCCATTGTAATGACATTCGAGTACAAGACACTCATCTGTGTAGGCATCACTAGGAGTACCTAGAGTGGGCTTTTCATCTGGTCTCCCAGATCCAGTCCTGAACATTGTTTGTCTCAGGCCATTTGTGAAGATGCTAATTATTCTGCTGCTGGAAAGAATGCTGACATCCCAGTGACAGGTTAGCTGCGTGGCAGTCATCTTTGTCTGAATGATTTGTCTTTGATCAAGATGCCCAGCGCTAGAGCTGAAGACTTCCCAAGTGAGAATCAAAGTCACCTTCTCTTGGGCTCAAAGTTGGCTTAGAGTTACTACCTGCAAGTGGGGCCAGTTTACCATCCTCTCTTCTGCTGCCTCTGCCCTTCTTTTCAGGGTCTCTGTGAAAATAAATGATATCTACTCAAAGTGTAGTCCTCCCTTAGCTACAAAAAATAAATTTTAAAAACTTTCCAAATAATTGCTTTGAAGAAAATAGTCATTTATTGTCAAAGCATCCAACATACTCGGATAAACTATAAAGTTTAATAAATCTTTCCAGGGATAAAAGAAACACATTAACTATTCAGACTCCATTTCACTGGCACAAAATTACACTTTGTATTAAAAGGAAATACATATTTACATAATTGATGACATTCTTCATTGAAGTCCATAATCATTTCATTATACATGCACCTCCCTCTGAAAACTCGAATTCAATGGCGGCTCCCTTTTTATTCGTTTTGTTTATTTTTGTAAGAACGCAAACTGTCATCAAGAAATGCAGAGAGCATCTCACCTTCCTCCTTTACTTTATATCTAAAATAAATTTTGCCCTTGCATATAAGTATTACATCTAAACCGTAAGTGCTTAATAATTTAAGTAGAAACGTATGACAAATGCATCAATATGTTGCAATATATGACATTTTTAAAAATGTACCTTTGTTTTTGGGAGAGTGAAAATGCGTGCATTCAAAAGAAAACCCCCTCAAACGACCCACTCAACCCGAAGGCCCCGTCCCGGCTCGTGAGTGCGTGTGTGCGTGCGCGAGTGTGTCCTGGGTAAACGCTGGCGTGGGAAGGTTTCCGGGGCGGGGTACGCGTGAGTGTGCGGGTGCTTGTCTGCGTCTGGGCGCGAGGAGGCCGCGGGCCTCCTGCAGGGGACTCGCGCGCGAAAGGCCGGTTCCCGGGTCAGTTGTGCGAGGTCATGTGCCTGGAGAGGTGGTGGCGCTCCCGGAAGGACTCGTTGCAGATGGGGCACTTGAGCTTCTCCTCGCGCCGCCGCTTCACCAGGGGCTCCATGGCGTACTCCTTCTTGTGGTGCGACCGCATGTGGTACACCAGGTCGGAGGTCATGCGGAAGGAGGCGTTGCACTTGGCGCACCAGTTCTGCGCTGGCAGGCACAGCGACGTGAAGGAAGGCGGCAGCAGCGTGAGAGCCGACGGCAGCTGCAGCTGCAGGGGCCCCGCCGCCGCCGCCGCCGCCGCCGCGCTCTTGGGCCAGAAGGCGGTGGCGTACAGGAATGGGCTCTGCTTGGGCAGGCCGCCGCCGGGCAGCGCCGCGCAGCCGCCGCCCACGTTCAAGTCCGCGGCGCCCTGCAGCTTCACCGCCAGCGGGTCAGCGGCGGCGGGGTAGAGTCTGGCGGGGCCCACGCCGTCGGCGGGGTGGCAGGGCTCGAGAGCGCCCAGCTTCTGGCCCAGCACCATCGGCGGCAGCTGCGCGAAGGAGCGC